TCGTATCAGCGTCCGTCGTCCGGCCTCTAAAGTCAATCTTTTAAGCTCAAAGCTCCAGGGCCGCCAGTGGGTCCCGCGTCTACTACTAGTAACGCACATCACACCCACGTGATGTTACCTACCGCGATCATGAAAATAACTTGGAAGCGTTACGGACCCGGTTTTGACTTTTGATTTGTACCACCACCAGTATCAGTCCTAGCCACAATGAACTCTGCCGTGCCCAACAAACGGAAAGAAAACCCGGATTTGACCCTTAGGCTTGAGAAACCCACAAAGAGAGTGAGGTCTAACACACTCCCAGCTCCTTCTCAAATAGCCTCCTTACCACCCTACTCAACTACTCACCCTAACATAACGCGACCTAGCACTTGGACACCCACACAGACATCGCAAATCGAGGAAACAAACGCGACGACGTTCGACCCGATGCAATTTCACCTACACGACAGATACGCACTCAGTCTGCTTGATAGGCAAGACCTTGATGCCCTGTGCACAGCTCGCGGTCTGAGCACGTCGGGCACGAAGCAGGATGTGCTGGCACGTTTAGAGGCTCAGGCATCCTTGATCAGACAGAGAAATTGCCCACCAGCATACAGGTCGTCGTCCCACCAATCACCTCCTCCTCAAAATCCTCATTGCATACGCTCCAATAATGATATACTTGGCAAGCAGCCGCGGACCGCAGCCATGTATATGCCAACCTTGGCACGATCTCCTCCTCCTCCTCCCAAAGTGACGGCTAAGGCTCCACGTGCGAAGAGCGGACCCAAGAAGAAACATCCGGTGCACTGGTACCCCAATGGTGATATTCTCGTTCAAGTGGGTGGATTCCAATTTAAATTGTATCACGGCATCCTTGCACGCCAAAGCAAATGAGTTTCGAAACTCACCCATGCATGGTCATTCGGTGACCCATGCTGGTAATTTACCCCTGTATCATCTCGACGGTATGGGTTTCAACGCTCAAGATTTCGAGATATTCCTGGATGCCTTCGACAACGCCGTGTACGCCATTTCCTACTTGATCATCCTCCCTTGACTCACCCTTCTTCCATCCAGCACCTATGCCCACACTCAACCCTCCTTCCAAGTCATTACCTCCATCTTACGCGTCTCCACCGCCCTCTCCATCGAAAAATTCAAATATTATGCTACCGAGTGTCTACAAACCATGTGGTCGCCGCGTCTCGCACACCTGACCACCGTTCCCATACCCCACGCAACCGAGAGCATTATCCTCGCTCGACAGTACGGGTTGTCCCCTATCCTCAAACGCGCCATGTACGAACTCGTACGCCTCGAAGGCTTCGGCCAGCCTAAGCCGGCACCCTCAGGATCAGCAGCGCCACTCCTCACTGCCCATGAGCTCAGTGCGCTCGTCTACGCTCGCGAGCAGCTGACCAACACTTGGAACAAAGCCACTGACTCAGGCGAGCTCCCACTCTGCGCGCAGGCCCCCGATTCCACCTCAGACGGGGTTGTATGCACAGCAACGAGCCCCAGACGCTCCGCTGAAGCGTATAGAAAACTCATCGGAGAGCCCGGCATCGTAAAGAAGTACCGATACGATCCGGTTTGTGGACTGTGGGAGTTGAGACTGCTGCCTTGGGCGCAGGAGGCGTTTTGCAGGGCGTGCGTGGATCGGTTGAGGGAGATGTGGCTGCAAGAGTTGTTGAGGGTGTGGAGGGAGCTGGATGCATGGTTTGGGCTTGAATAGGGAGAGGAAAGGCGTAGGAGGGTGTGCCCCATGGTTGTAGGCGGGGTTTGCACCAGAAAATGAAGGGAAAAGGGGTGTCGGATGCTTGAAATGTTGTATATTTATGCGGGTGGAGAATCCATTTTGTACAGTCGTGATGAGTGGTTAAAATCAGGGGCTTGAGTGGGGTCCGGGGATTACAGTACAGAGATCATACAGACTTTTCCAAGAGTCCACTGACATGAAACATCAAGGCATCAAGTCTCGGTCAAATCTCAAACACTATTCACAGCCTCATACCACTGTATCACGCTCCCGATCAGGAACGCCCACCCACCCCAGAACGTCGACAACGAGCTTTGATAATTTGCCTTAGAGCTGGCCTCAGCGGCATACCCCAGTGCGCCGCATAGCATGAAGCCAACAGCGCCGATGAAGTTCCAGACTTCACAGGCAAGCCACGAATCAGACGATGCAAGAGGGTGGGTAGAAGAGGGGCTTACAGCCAACATGCCAGCCTAAGGAGCGAATATCAGGTTTATACCATTTTTGTTGGGCTTCGAGCATAATAAACGTGCTGACGAGGGATCGAAAGCAGAGTCAGAATCACGATGCGCAACGACTCGGAGAAGATGAAGACTGAAAAAGACCCACGCGCTGATCATAAATCCAAGGCCGCCAAGCACTTGCGGCGTCCAGAACACGCCATCTAGCAGTCCAGTATCTTCACTAATCGCCGCCTGGATGCTGGGTATTGCGGTCCATCTACTCAAATCTATTCAATACTCGAAGCCCACGCAGAGAAAGGAAACGCGGCACCTACCCGCTGATCCAGAATATGGTCGCGGCGCATAGCTGTGAAAAGGCCGCAAGAAATCCGAGCTCGTGGAGATACTTCGTATCTGCGGAGAACCATATCCAGCGCGTAGGAGGTTTCGCTGGGTATTCGGACTTGTCACGATTAGGCGACGACGACCGTTCGTCGTTGGGGTTGGAGGACTTGGGCTGATGGAGGTACTGACGGACGTTCCACCCAAATTCTGCGGCATCCTCACGATTCCAAGCCTCGAGAATCCCGAAGATCGAGCCAATCTCGAAGATAGTGGCCCCTAGCCATGCGGTCCAGCCGATGCTTCCATCAGACTCCGGGACCTGGGAGTCAATGTTGGGGAGGAAAGCAACGAAGCCGTTGATCACCCAGACGATACTCCCAAGGGTGAATAACTGCGCGACATACCAAGACGCGTGAGCTGAGAGCGACAAATCTAGGCAAAACGGAAGACTGACGATTGCGACTGTGGTGACTACCGATAGTCTGAGTGCGACAAAGGTGTGGATTCGAATGCCTTAAACGATAGGCCGATAGCTGAGAGTGCGTCGTTGCCTCGTCGTGAGTGAGCTAAAGAAACAGTGTCTACAACGCATGTCCTCCTCATGTCCGTGAAATCACGTGATTCGCGGCTAGCCGTTCTCGAAACCCCACATCTCCCCCATACTTTCGAATATCAACCGTCCCTGGTTGATCCTCAAGCAAAACAAATCCTTCAGCCACCATTCCCGAAATCTACGCAGAACTCGCGGTAGTAGTTGACGATCGCGTCAGTCGGCGGTAGTACGAGCGCACTGTTGAAACTCCTGCGCGTTCGGCGCGTGCGACGGCGTCTTCGTGGTCTGGTACCCTCATGGTGTCGAAGTCCTCTCGTCTCTTTCCCTCTCTTCTTCTTATCCAGCCCCTGAAACCTCGCGATCTGTCCTTGCGTCGCCAGGATCTCTGCAGCGGTTCGTAGGTCATACTGAGTCGGACACGGCATGGTGTTGGAATCGGAAGTCGGTAGCGGTGTAGTACATGGTGTAAGATCGTCGCGGATAAGCTGTAGACGGATCGGGGTCGGTATCGATTTGTAAACGTACTTGCAGATCGTGAGATGGCGTTGGCGAGCATCGTGATAAGCTTGTTGAGTCGTGGCGTCGTCATGAGAGGAAACATGGATGTCGAGGTTGCAGATGAATGAATCGAATATGCGGAAATACTCCTCGTAGTAGCGATACTCGATATAAGCGTCGATTGCGCGTGGTGATCGAGATGTTCCTGTTTCTAGTGGTACACCATTTCCTGCCCGAGCAAAGATTGTGCGCAGAATGCGCCTCGTGAACCAGACTCGATGCGGAATGCAGCCATCATGTATCTCGATAATGTCTCGTGAATCTTCTTCTCCCCTGCCAGCTGATAAATTTCGCGCAAATCGCGAAGAACGGTATGGTCGGCGTGCGACGGATATAAATCTGATTCGCATCGCGGTGGTGTGAAACTAACAATCCAACAACCTTCCGAAGCGGTGGGCTCCAGATGTGGTGACTACCGATAGTCTGAGTGCGACAAAGGTGTGGATTCGAATGCCTTAAACGATAGGCCGATAGCTGAGAGTGCGTCGTTGCCTCGTCGTGAGTGAGCTAAAGAAACAGTGTCTACAACGCATGTCCTCCTCATGTCCGTGAAATCACGTGATTCGCGGCTAGCCGTTCTCGAAACCCCACACGACCCACCAGCTGATATTCCAGTACTCGAGCCGGGTCATATGCCCAAAACGCTGGAAGACGTTCGATCCTGATCGTCTGCTCTGTGATGGCGCAATATCCTTGTATCGGTTCTTGCGGTGGTCGCGCGATGTCCAAGAGCAGCTCTCATCGCCGTCTCGCAACAAGGTCGCGTGGGTGGGATGGATGAAGTGCTGGGAACAGCGAGGAAGGCCGTTTCGTGGGTTGTGGTAACGGACAGAGGGGTGCAGGGCATGGTGCCAGCGCACTGCGACACTGTCTTCCCTGCCTATGTGCCCTGCGCGCATCGTCGCCAACTGCAGAGGAACTGTTCAGGGGGACTTGAGAGTGTGCCATTCTGATTTTGTGCGAGGTCATGGTGGTGTGGCTGACGTCAATGTAATTTTAGTTCCCCCCCAAGCCACGCTGTTGATTCTATTTATATTCATAATATAAACCCGCAGCGTCCTGCAGTGCTCTGAATGCACTGGTTACTCGGCCGGCTCACGTCACACCAGAGGACTCCCTTACACGACCCGGTTATGGTACGAAGTCTTGTGAAAAGCAGGTAGAAATTGAGTGTATTAGTCGAAGTACTGAACAGGTTGCAGATCTACACTTTGTTCTCAGCCCTGGCCGAGGCTGCTCTGCGTTCGGCGTTGGCCGTTGGGTATGTAGGTGGGTATCAGCAGAACGTCAAAAACGATGCATGCGCGCTTCATCTATGTAGGAGCTAAAAAAAATTAACCATTACAACATATAATGCCCCCTGCAAGGCTCGAACTTGCGACCTCAGGATTACACATCCAACGATGCGTCATATTGCTATGAGACCTGCGCTCTAGCCAACTGAGCCAAGGAGGCTATGTTCCCATGGAATGCCGGGACATCAACTGGAAGTGTCGCTGGTATGTACTCCATTATATGTAGTACGTACGTCTCCACATGTTCTGTACTTTTGCCAGGGTACATACATTACTGCCGTTTGACGTATCATAATCGATGCATATATGAATCTCCACCGAACTCATATCTTCAACAACGTCTAGACCCCATGCCAAGAAACAACTCATTCTACATCTCGCCATGGACGATCCACATTCCCTTCATCGTCCCCGATAGCATCGACACCCGCAAGCGTAAGCGCCTCCATCTGGCGCGTGAAGTCATTCATATCAACCCGCGCTTTCTCTCGAATCTTCTCGTCGTATCCCCCAGCCTCGTCAACAGGCTCCTTGGGATCCCAGGTGATGGGCGAGCCAGTCCAGCCATTGTTGCAGTGGATGTAGTTGAGGAACGAGCGCCACAGGGGATCCAGAGAGAGAACTGAAGGATCGCCGATAACGATCAGGAGGGACTGGGCACGCGTGACAGCGACTAACGGGAGGTAATTGTCTTGGAATCAAGTTCAAGTGATGGAAGGAACAATTGGGTACTAACCATTGAACCGGCGGGGGCTGGCGACGAAGCCAAGGGTGTGCCTCAGGTCGTACTCAACAAATTCTGTGCTGCTGCGCACAGTGGAGATGATGATCACACGTCGTTCCTTCGAAGAAATTAGGAAATAACAGGATGCAGTATGGAGTAAAACCCACTTGGCCCTGGAACTCTTCGACACTGCCTACTTTAACACCATCTGCGACGTTACGTAGCGCAGTCCTAATCTTGCGGCACTGAGCGTTATACGGGGCAATTACGCCGATATCGTTGTCCGCTGAAGTTCATGTCAACTTCTGATAAGTATGAGGTCGAATAGGAACAACGCACTCGTCCGGAAACGACGGTCTGAACGTAATGCCTGCACATATGCTTTGACCTGCAGCACCTCGTCGACGTTGAAGAACGAGGGCGATGAGGCTTCGCGATCATCTTTACCGCAGAGCCCGTGGAAGACGATTGGGAAGTTCTTATTTGGAAGGTATGTCGACCCGATGAAGCCGTTAATTACTTTGGTATCACCGCATTGCTCGAGCTCTCCATCGTAGAAGCGCTCGTTAGGGAACTTGAGGATCGTGCTGTGGGACCTGAAGTTTTTGACGAGCTTAACCACCCTATAAAGTATAGCAACTAAGAACACGCGGCACACTGGGGTTTAGTGGAGCACTCACGAAACGCCATACCCATCTTTCAGATTGTATGCATCTCTATTCATAAGCCGCTCGATGTAGCTGGTCTCAAGACCAAGTTCGCAAGCCATCTTGGAGCGGATGATGGGTCCCAGCTGCTTATGATCGCCCGACAGAACGATGTTCGTCGTGGAGTTCGCCATCGTCTTGATCGCGATGAACACCTCCGGTTCAGTCGCCTGGCCCGCCTCATCAATGAAAATATGCGAATAATGTCCGCGGGGGATGCCAATGCCCGAGACGACTGACGCCGACACGCACGTCGTTACAATCACGCGGAAACGCATCATGCGCGCCATTGGCGGCACCGAAAAATGGCCGTCGTGGCGTACGTGGGAGTAGTCGAGGAGCTCAAGGGGGACCTGGTCCTTTGCCCGAGAAGGCGCGTAGAAGCGGAAAAGCTCGTTGGAGGAAAGGTCCCGCAGGCGCATGGCGATGAGATCGGCGGCAGAATTGCTCGGTGCACATGCGAGTATTCTGGCATTGGGATTGGCCTTAAGGACCTGCTTAATGGCTTCCACCATCGTAACGGTCTTGCCTGTGCCGGGCCTGCCGGAATTGTGAGCACGCCATAGCTGATGAGAATTCTGAGGAAACTCACGGTCCAAAGATAATAAATGGAAGTGAACCAGGGGGCTGCTTGACAATTGAGATAACTGCCTGGAGCTGCGGTGCATTCAAGCCAATCAAGGGATTGATTACCCGAAGGCGTGCGTCGGCCTGCTTGGCATAAGGCCCTTTGGGAAGGTCAGTACGTTCTGGGAACAATACGCGGTCTTCGGAGAACGCGCTGTCAAGGGCCTGATGTTGTCGCCGGGCGGGGTAGCGATTGAGTTTGAACCGAACATTGTAGAGTTGGTCCCTACTCCCCCCTCTGAAAGATCTATCAAAGCGCATGTTCACCTCCTCTTTGCGTACAGCATGGACTCCACCCTCAAACCAGTGCCCTTCCCGAGCACCTTTCGGCTGAACGAGGATTCGGTCGCCTATCCGGTTACTTGTATAAATTGGGGGATATTATAAAAGACAAGGAACAAGGAATGATTTACCAACGAGCACGCTGGGGCGCTTTTCTGCTAGCCCTGGAACTTCCAATCTAGATGGCGGGTGATTAGGGTCACTAGGATTCAAGTATTTCAAGCTCATACTTACTGATAGAATGCCATATACGTCGTCATTCTGACGTTCGTCATGTCATAGATCTCTAAATCTCTCCTGAAAAAAAAAAGATCGTTCAGTACACATACCAGAGTAAGAAGACCCGATGAACGTACTCCATCTGATGCTCCTCGATCCATAAGAGATGCTTGAAATGGCGGTCATAGCCTGCGGCGTTGAACTCCCGGGGAAGGAATACACTTCTGATGCGGGCAAGCTTATTTGCGGGGGAGCCAGTAGAGAGAGTCGTGGCCAATGCATTAGGGATGGGAGCGCGCGGCAGTGGTACAACATAAGGAACAGCTTTCATCGACGGTGGCCGTACTCCCTCTACTACTGCAATTTCCACTTGTCGCGCGGTTTTCGCGCGGGGTATATATGGAGCTGTTGGCCTAAGCTTGTCGTGGTCCGCTTTGTTGCCCACGATACCTTCCAGCTGGCGGACGATCATGAATCGCGTGCGAAGCTGCGTATCTTCAAACAGGAACTCAGCGCGGTCCTGGCATCGTCCGATGTAACTTTGATGGAAGGTGATACTGAAATTCAGCGGATTTGTCGATATATTTTGTCGTCTTTCATGAATACCGACCTCAAATCTTAGCGAGGCGATCATTAGTAAGTGAAGAGCATCGGAAAGCATAACTTACGAAGAATGTGTTGGGTTGGTCCCTTTCGCAGAGGCAAGTTGGATACTGACTAGGATGATGCGTGAAGAGGGGTTGGTTGTCTTGATTGTGCCTCTTGAAGTGATCCATCCAGCGGCGTCAGCGACCTCGACGATGCCAAAGTCAAACTCCCCTGCAACCGTGACCCCGTGCTTGTCCTTCTCTGCCTCGTCCAACACCACTCTGAACTCAGCAAACCGCTCCTTTTCGAGATGTCTTGCGTTCCTGAGGTGGCGATCCCAATAGACGTCCTGAATATGCACGTTGCAGGTAACACAAAATGTGTGCCGTGGGATGTCTGCAAGTTCTTCCGGGGCGACGGTCCCGGGTTCGACGCCACCTGCGTTGCATCTCCTGGCATGCCGGAGAGAATTGAGATGGATAGTCCACTGGTGTCTTCCGTGGTGTCGGCTCTGGCACAGAGGACATTTCAAGACCAAAGACTGCCCACCGACTTTGTTGAGATGAACCCGCGATTCAGTGTGTGCATTCATCTCCGCAGCCGACGCGCACATGAACGCGCAGGCCTCGCATGTTAACATATTGTGGGTCCAGCGACAGGACGGGTCCTGGCAAGAGCCATCTTGGCGTAACTGAGGGCAGATGTCGATGATCGACATTGTTGGGAGCGTGTAGTGAACGACGCGTCGAAGAAAAAGTGGAAACCTTTCAGGCGTCTTTATATGGCGCTGAACGGCCTTTTACCTCATTTCCGGCCATGAGGCTAATCGATCTCACATAAATTGCGGCAGAATTTAGCCTTCAACGGATAGCTTCTTCAAGCGATCGGTGCTTGGGGATTCTCGACTGCGGAGAATCTATTGTATGAGCTGCTGTCCGGACATGTCACGGTCATCTCCACTGCGTACATGTTATAACCTCGATTGCACCACACTCCTGGTCTCCCCACAACGGAGGAACAGTCCACACACATATTGGACGGAGCCGGCACAGTGGATGAGGTGGTGGTCGATGGACTTAGAAAGGAGGTTTGTCTGATGCTGCCTGTCTGTCTTATTTAAACCGCAGCGTGCGAACTTTTCCTGCGACAACTTTGGTAGCACCTATCATGGATGGGTTGAGCAGGCATAAAAGTGTTTGTACATCTGCCTTTCTCATCTGACAGGATCTAGGTCGCGAAGGGATGACATAAAGACCAGGAGATGGAACGACAAGACAAAATAAACTACGAGAAGAGTTTGTTGACCGATGTGTTTCCCTCTTGATTCTTCTTGAGCACCTACAGACCAAAGTAAAGGTGAGATTGTGTGAAAAGTGCAGATAGTGGGACCCACGAACCTTAGCAACAGCAAACTCGAAGTCTTCCTGGGTAACGTGCTGCCTTCGTTCACGTAGCGCATACATGCCTTGACGAGGGACGATCAGAGGAGTACACAACGGAAACTCACTTAACATACCTGCTTCAGTACAAATACCACGAACCTCAGCACCAGAACATTGGCCCATCTTCTCCGCAAGCGCACGGAGATTAATTCCTCGCTGCAGTGACATCTACAATTTCTCGTTAGCCCGATCAAACTCTATACCATAGGCGCTCAGTGTAAGAGGAAACTCACCTTTCGCGAGTGAATTCGCAGAATAGAGACACGCGCCTCAGGGCCTGGAGGTGGAAACTCGATCTTACGATCGATACGCCCAGGACGAAGAAGTGCGGCGTCAAGGATGTCTAGGAAAAGGGATCGAACCTATAACGAAAGAGAGGAGAAAGAACACATACCAATTCGATTGGTGGCCATAATGACTTTGATGTTTTTCGTCGCCTCGAACCCATCCAGTTGATTGAGTAGTTCCAACATCGTCCGCTGTACCTCCGAGTCGCCACCCCCGCTGCCGCTCTCTCCTCGCGAACTTCCAATGGAATCAATCTCGTCCATGAAGATGATACTCGGCGCGT